GTTTATTGCCAACCCGACCCAGTGCTTGTTGTTCCAAATCATGGGTGCATAGACAGTGTCGGTGTCTTTCCCCCAACTTCTACCCGGTGCATTGACATATGAACTTATCCGGCCTTCCCATCCGACCTGCATTTTTTTCTTTGCTGCAGAGAAAGATCTTTCTTTTGCCAAGATGTGGTTGATAAGGTGTGGTGAGCAAAAAGCACCGGCCTCAGACGGTGGTAGTGTTTGGTGTCTGTTTGCCAACCAAATCATCAAAACTTCCATGTGGTGCAGGTTTTGCGAGTGGATTAATAGTTGTAATTCGGCTTTGCATTATGCAAATTCAGAACTGTATTGGAGTTTAAAAATAGAGTGATTTGGATACCTGTGTCGTGACCCACTTCTGCAGTTGTGCTAGTTCTAGTATGAAGTTGTTGTCAAAATCCAGACGCAGATGACTTCTGTGTTCCCTGCGTGTCATTAAGCATAGCGTTAGAAAGAAGTGACACACGTTTAGTTTTTTAAGGTCGTGCGTCTAAACTTACAGTTTCGGTGACTCAATTAGAACCTTGTGTAACAGCTCAAACTCCTCCTCATCTAACGGTGGAAGTAGATCGTTGTATTGCCTTGGTTCTTTCAATCGCAGAAGCGCTGCAAGCTCTATTTCGGCGACTGTTGGCGTGTGTGTTTCTGTGGTTGGTGGTGGAGATGAATCACTGACCACGAGAGCACTTTCAGAGACCATTACGTCTTTGCCTTCACCACACAGCTACAATGTGCAACCGTTGTTAAATGTAGCCAAAACTTAATTCAGTGAAACGAAAGAAGGAAAGTAATATTAGGACCACTTACGTTGCTGTTGTCCCATGTTGGCTCTGTTGTGTATAGCTGCTTTAGTGATCATAGTTGAATGGAGTAGTTATTAGTAACAGTTGTGGCTGAATGTTCATATAAATTAAGACTTACCCTTTTCTCAAGCGACATCAGTTGTGGTGTTGTGTTTGTGGTTTGGTGGTTAACTGTTACTTCCGGAGAGGATTGTAAGATGACCGGGCAATTGCGGGGCTGCATATTACTGGATGTTAGATACCGTGATTCCTTCGTATTTTAAAGCAAGTATGTTGCTGTCTGAATACTTACATTGGTAAGGTCGAATATGGGTGTGACATTGGATAGTTCCTTGTTTGGCGAAAAAGAAAGTGTATTTAGACTTCCCGGTGTACTTTTAAATGGAGTTCGTTGAGAAGTATATGTAACTTACCAATAGCTGATCATCCATAGCGACTGCAGAAGGGCCTGGGGAAGTTTTGGTTGGTGTTTCATCAAAAAGTTGCTGCATGTTTTTGTTTTTAGAAGTCATATTCTGTGATCACAAAGGTAAAGTGTTATCGATTGTTGACTTCTAAATGGTTCTTTTTGTTTGTCACAATTTGGCCGTACCTTAGGTGTAGAGATAGGATTGCTTTCGAATGCCGTCTCTTTTGCAGTAGGAGCCAAAGTAGCAGTTTCCCGATTGGAATTTTATTCCCGTTTTTCAGTCTGTAGTTTTGAGGAAAAATATTGGCTCAGTGGTGGGCTCTGGATACATCGAGAGAGAAGTGGTTTAACGTTGTTTTTATGTAGGGTAAATAAACAAGCTTGTACAATAAGTTAATGTTTCAAGTTAGAGCCTTACGAAGCTGTCTTCGTCCATGTCGTGGTTGAGCTCCTGCACCTTGATTTCAGAAATGGCATTTATTAGTATCAAGAAGTATATAGATGAACAAATAAGAACTTCAATGTTTTGCTTGATCAGATTAGTGTTTACCTTATCGGTGGTGTAGTTCTTGGTTGGCGAGGCAAACAAAATTTCGGGGCAGCAATCATCTCCCTTTAGAGTGAAGCTCTCTGTTTCTATTTTTGGTACACGCCTTTTCTGCTTGTAGCAACGGTTACGGATATTTGATATCCTTACCGTTCTCCTAGTGTCCCGGAGAAGCTGCAGCATTGTCTTGTGTTTTGTAGTCAGCGACTCTATTTTCTTCGAGAGTTGAGAAACTTCTTGACGCAACAACTGGTTATTATGAAGTAGGCCCTCTAGCGCAACTGCATCTACTAAGATTTTCACCGTTTTCTTTTTTTGGCTGGAGCGCGTTTGTGTAACGTTGACTGGGTTGTTGTTACCATTTCTCTGCTGCTTCCTCCGAACGATGGGTTTATTGGGAACTCTTTGTTGCTTGGGTTGCTTCGGAACGAGAATAAGTAAGTAGTCTTCACCTCCTGGCCATTCCTGCTTCTTGAAAGAATGTCCGGCCGCTATTTTATTCTCCAAATATTCCAGCTTCCTATCAAGTTGTTCATCTGCCCATGCGCCGAGGGCATTTGAAGTGGACTCATTCTCATGTAGGAAAGGAGTTACATGCAACTGAAACAGATGTATTAGTGCATATAATTCACTAAAAGGAAAAGGGATTATGGAAGGTTTGGACACTTACATCATGGTCATTCTCTGCGAGTAGGACTGCATTTTGCGAGATGTATCCTTTGATGGGGATCGAAGGGCCCTCAATGGCAAGCATTGTTGGTTCCTCTTCTGGGTTCCGGAGTTTTTGGAGCAAGTTGGGAACAAGACGGAAAGCTAGAAGCTGCAAAGCAAGCGGGAATCCAGTGAGCCGGTAGCTGGAACTCTTGAGTTTCTCCCGTAATGTTTCAACCGGATCTTCAGGGTCGCCAAAAATCCTTATGCCTGGCTTCATGCTGTGGATAGTCCAAAAGAAGGATTCCCTACCCCATGGGAACGCCATGAAAGCATCAAGGTTCGCAAGCATTGTGACATAATGAGGAGTTGGCTTCAGCGGGAGGTTGTTTGCTTTCAGAACACCATCGACTATCAGTACCAGCGCTAACTTGAATTTCCTTTCAGGATCAATCAAGTTTTTTTCTTTGTCATCTATGAGCCCCTTGCCAATCTGCTCGCATGTTGTACTGGGGTTATCACCAATGATTGATTTCCATGCTTGATCTGGATGGTTGTCTTTGTCTGACACCTTATGAGGATGGTATCCATCCGGCCAAGGTCCACATGACAAGCCAGTGATGCTCCCAAACTCAGGCAGAGAGAATCGAAACGGTTGACCACCGAAAACGGTCCAGAGCTCATACCTTCTTTTGGTAAGTAGCTGCCGGCTAAGGAGAGAGTGAATTAGCTTCCCAGAATAAGGACACCTGCCTTTTGGGATGTCGAATAGTTGTCCAAAGACAGTGTCTCTTATCCGCTGGAACACCGGAGTGCCTTTCAATGTGTGGTGCAATAGTGTTAACGTGGATGCCTCGCCATACATATTGAGCCTCGCCTTGGGAAACCTGTCGGTGGCGAACAACCTGCAAGGTAATTGGTTGTCCCAATCTTTGTTCGCGGAATCAGAACCTGAGGATAAGGAGAGTCAAAAAATTACATAACTGAAACGGAAACTAGCCTATCAAGTGTCCAGGCAAAAAAATCTACGGGACCAAGCAGAATTATCGAAAACATCCAATTTTGGTACCTAATCTTTTGGAATTATCTTTCCGAACCAAAGGGTTTCCCAAACAAAGTGTTTGACTTTCTAAAACGAGAGACCCATAGAACATGACGCCGGAATTTGTGAACAACATGTAAGTTCTGAGACTTCCGAAACAGATAAACCGAAAATCATAAGATAAATAAAGATATATACACCGAAATTAAGCTAGGTTGTGGTCTGAAAAGCAAAATGGGAGCAAAAAAGCGTCGGATTTCGGTAACAAATTAAGATTCTCGCCGCCGAAGTGAAACCAAAACCCTAAAAACGGATGGAGAATATTCGGAACTGGAACTGTAAATACCTTCCATAACAGAGCGTGAATGTGGAATGAGCAGGGATGGCGGATTCGTGGACAGGGTCTGAGCAATTTCTTTCTCTTCGAGTGCGCCGGCAAGAGGAAAACGGTTTCCGTCGACGTCTGTAAAATCGAGTAGAGAAAGAGAGAAGTAAAATAAAAAAGGGTAAAAGTTAGAAATGTAATAGAACGGAAGAAAGAAGGACAAATGTGTAAACTCTCACACACAAAGTGCATGTCGAGAAGTCACTCTTTGTGTAAGGAAAAACTCAAAAGTCATCTTTACTGTAAATCACTCCCTAGCTCTCACCGATACAATTCTTTATCTTACTGTTTATTAATTGGTTCCTTATTTATTTGCTATACGGAAGTCAACATTATTAATCAAATGTTTTTGTTTAGATCGGTTGTTTTGTTTTTATTTTGTGTGCAATACTTAATACTACTGTATAAAATAATTGCAAAATCTTTGTACATTCCTGAGTACTTCAATGTTTAAACCATTACATCAGCAAAAGTTTATGTTACCAAGACCGTATCAAAGGCAGCATCACCTATATTAGTCAGTAAAATCTAAAATGGGCTTACATCCAATATATGGGCCCATTCAAACCCAAAGATATCATGCATGCGTAATCTTGTTGATGTGCATTTTCAAACGTATAAACGCTCTCTTCAACATAAAAAGAGACCGATTTAAAAAGAGTTAATTAGGTGAATATAATGCATATAAATATACAATGCGCCTGAATCATTTAGAGGGGTATACAATAAAGCTGAAACCTACTAATTTTTTACCAAAGACCAAATTTTGTTTTTGTCTTAATAAAAAAAAACTCGGCTTTTTCAGACTTTCAATGTACGTACGGACACAAACACTAGGATTTGATCAATACGTATATAACTATACCAAGACGGTGTATATATATTAGAGATATTGTAAAATTAAATCATTTTTGGTCTCTCTGAAATCCGTTGAACACGCGTCCTAATCCTATAGAACAAGTTCCACTAATACAAAAATGACACGTGTCTCAAGAGGGAGTGTTTCTTTGTCGTTTTCATCGGTCATCTTCAACATAAATCTCCAAAAGCCCTAAAGACCACAGAGAGAGAAAGAAACAGAAAAAAAACTCAGAAACCCTAAAACCTCCACAAACCCTCTCTCAGCCGCCTGAATCATGTCCATCACTCACATCGCTCCCATCCCTCAATCCAACGGTATATCTTCAAAAACCAAAACTCATATTACATCATTTCTCAAACTCTTAAATCTCGCGATCAACTCTACATCAGTCTGATATTATCATATTTTATGTGAAGCAGATGTTTTTTACGCCACCAACAATCCGTACCAGGTGAACGGACCAAGAGGGTTCACGGAGTTCAAGTTCTTGGAAGAGACGGCGGATCTGTTCGTGAGGCTCGATTTTCCGGGAGTCACCAGAGAAAGCGTCAAGATCCTTCTCGACCCGTCGCTGAAAGCTGTTTTCGTCTTCGGAGACGCGCCGAAAGAGCACCGTCACGATTCGTCGTACCGGAAATACGGAACCGCCACTGGGCTCGTCTGCGATTGCTGTGTCATCAGCGATGCTCAGTGTTACGTCGGAGATGGCGTTGTCAGACTCATCCTCTCCAAGAAGAAGATCGATCTTCTCACTCCTTTCTTCTGTTCATGTAATTGTCTCGATTCCTACTTTCTTTTCTCTTACTTTTTTTGTTTTTATTTGTTCAGAAAAATGTAATACTAATGATTCTGACATTTTTGTTCGTATTGTCTCAGATGGATGTATGCCTGCTGCTGCTACTTCCCTCCGTATGTTTTTTTTATTTAATTTATTTCCAATCTTTGAATCTTTTTATTTTTGGTGTGTGTTTTGTTAATTTGTGAATGTTTTTTTCTTTTTTTTTTTTCTTTTTGGCAGCTAGCTTGATTCGTGGGTATAACCCGGAAGGTATTTGATTTTGTTTTTTATGTTTTGTTTTTTGGGTAAATAAATTCGATCTTGCCATCATGAGAGCTTCTTTTAGAAATTAGTCGTATTTATTTTCTTTATATGATTACATAAAGTATAGTCTGATCTGACATTTTTCATGGAATGTGTTATTTTTCTGTTAATGGTGCAGTCGTAGGTGGCCATCCTCTTGGTACGTTTATTTATGTTGACGTTTGATTATTACTATTTTACATTTTCTTTTATCCTTAATTAGACTTGTTTTTAAAATCTTGTTATTTTATTTTATTTGATTTGGCAGCTCATCTTCGTGCCCATAACCCAGAAGGTACTTGATTTGATCTTCACCATGCTTTGTTTTGTTGAAGTAATTAAACGTGACGAAAAAAAAATTATTAGAACAGTATAGTCTTGGGGTTAAGTTAATAAACTAATTTCATTAATTGTTTTAATCGTATTTATAGGTCGCCTTTGCACTGACCCTCTCGGTATGCACTTTATCCCTTTATTGTTACTTATATTAACATCCATATCATTAGTATTAACGTACTTATATTAATATAAATCACATTTTCATATGCATGAAACGCGCTTCTCTAGTAAAGATTCATAATGATGTTTTTGTGATTTAACACGTTGGACAGATGTGGCGTTCACGGGTCGGGTCACAATACCGCACCCGTCAGTGTTGGAAGGACCAAGGTACTCGTACGAGTCAAAGCGGCTCCCGAGGGGAGGTCTATTTCTGCGTATCGATATGCCCGGAGTCCCTAGCAACAACTTCACGGTGGAGGTGGAAGGAGACGGCGGAGTCATTGTCATCGGCCGAGCTCCTCCGGCCATGCATGACTCGAGTGGGCGTGAGTACAGAGGCAAAGTCGCTATCGTTCCTCAAGACTACAACAATGATCGCATCAAAGTCATCGCTAAACATGGTGTCATCCGCCTTATTCTCCCTAATTAATGATTGCTTATGAACATTATAATGTTTGAGAACGTACGGACACTACTATTTCAATATTCTGCTTTTGGGTTTTGGAATATTTCAAGAACAATATTTATGGATTTTAGTACGTACGTAATATGGTTATATTATCGCGTCTTTATTCACACTTATGAAGCTGAAATATTTATAGCCGATTATTACTTGCTTGTTGCAACTTACAACCTAGCTCACCTAATGAGTTTTTTTCTTTTTCTCAGTCACCTAATAATTAATCAATCATGTCGACAAATTACGTATCAATATGATTAATTTTTGACTACACACAGACTCGTAGTTTAGTAAAGTGAACAAACGTACACATAATTTCTGATAATAAATATATATAAAAAATCAATCAGCTAAATAAAGCTGTTTCACAAAAGAGGACGTTGCGTGTTTAGTAGTGGTGGATGCACAAGTCACAAATTAAAAATTGACACGTGTCCCCTATCATTTTTTGTCGTTTTCATTCTGATAAAATCTGTTCTCGTTGCCTCTCTCTTGTCTCTTCACTCCCATAAAGATCCAGAAAACCCTAACTGCAGCTAAAGCCCAAGAACACACAGCGAGAGAGAGAGAGAGAGAGAGATCTATAAATCAGAAGAAACCTCAAATTAACTAGCTCCCTCTTATAAATCTGAAACCTCACCCAAAAAACTTCACCATGGTCGTCCCTCTTAGTGCTTGCCCTACATCTCGCGGTACGATCTTTTTCTAAAATCTCATTTACGTTCTCGCCGATGGCCTTTCTTTTCAAATGGGTCACTGATTTTTCTTGTAAATTTTGTTTATTTTTCTCTGTATGTTCGGTGAGTAGACGGGTTTTACGCAATCTACAACCAGTTTCTGGCGAGTGGGCCAAAAGGGTTCTCGGAGTTCAAGATGTTGGAGAACGAAGACATGTTCGTCAGGATTGACCTTCCCGGCGTTCCAAAAGACGGCGTCAAGGCTTTTCTCAGCGAGTCGAAGAGAGCAGTTTGTGTCGTCGCCGAAGCACCGAAGGAGCACAAACACGACCACTCTCACCGGAAATACGTCACCGTCACCGGACTCGTCTGCAAATGCTGCCAAGTCTCCGGCTTCATCTCCCACATGTGCGACGGCGTTCTCCGTCTTCTCCTCCTCTCCAAGACTAAGATCACTCCACCACGCTGTACTTTTTTCTCATACTTTTTTTTTTTTTTTTTTTTTTTTTTCATATTTTCACATTTTCTGCAATTTAATTTAATTTAAATTTAATTCATAAACGACTTTTCTGATTTAAAAAAGGAATTTGTTTTTTTGCACAGCGTTTCTTGCTAGTCCAGATTTCCAAGAAGGTATTATTTGATTCGATCTCATGTTTTCACCAAATAAAACTGTTTTTCATCTGTACATTAAACTTTTTAAAATTGTACGTTTACTTAAAATGTTTTTGTTTGTCTCATGGTCAAAGATCTTCGTGGCACGTGTCCTCTGAAATTTCCTCTTGGCTCGAACCCACAAGGTATTCACACATTTATCTCCTTCTGCAAGCTAAATTTTTATTATGTTTTATAAATTTTTATTACACACCGGATATATTAATTGATTTGTCTGAAAAGGAGTAGTATTAATTTACCTTGTTGTGATCCTATAATTATGTGGAGCAGATCCGGCGTTAACGGGTCGGGTATTGAAGCCACACCCATATGTGGTCCAAGGTTCGGAGATGGCTTACGAGTCGAAGCAGCTCCAAAACGGCAGCTTGTACGTGCGTGTGGACATGCCTGGCGTTCCAAGAGACAAGTTCACGGTCTCCGTCGAGAACGGGAGAGTGAAGGTGACTGGTGAAGCGCCTACCGTTAGTCACGACTCAGGTGGTCGGTTTTACTCCGGTGACGTGGCCATGCTCTCCGGCGTTGCTAGCATTCCGATCCGTAAGATCAAGACCATCGCTAAGAACGGTGTGATTCGCCTCATTATCCCTCCCGTTTGATTTGATCCATGATCTAAATTAGAATTAAACTCGTGTTTTGTGTTTCTTGATTTAGTAATGTTGAAGTCTCTCTTTATGGATTATTATATATATGTCGTTGATTTGGGATTATCTCGTTTTATGTTTTTGATTTACTTTGCTTGGTTTGTCTAAATATTTAGGGAATATCTCTAAATTAAGAAGATATAATTGCTTCGTTAACTTATTACGTTTGCATTTTTGTTAATTTATTTTGAACAAGATAGGCATTCTTAAACTAAAACGTAGATATTATTTGTAGACATGAAACGGTATTAAATTGTTATTATTATGTACGTCTCTTAACCGATAGTGATTTCTGTACACGTACCAAACCCACTAGACCGCAAACGGAATTTGTAAATTGTATTACGACGCATCCCCATTTTTCTTTCAAACTTTATCCAAAGCTCAAGGTTCTAATCAATGTCAAATATTGTACGATATGATAAATTTTTACAGATAAAATTCTGGATAATCAGTATTGCTATACACACATGTATATATATACAAGCAACTATATAAACACATGTAATTAAGACCAAATGTTTTTTACTCTATGTTAGTCACAAGGAAAACGTTAAACGTATTATAAAGACATCCCACTAAATCCATTGGTTTATGTTATCAAGAATGTATACTTGGTAAAAAATGTATTACATATACGTATATATTACTAATACTATGTGCCTAAAGCATGCATTTAGGGAGTTGTACTATAAAGCTGGAAACTTACTAATTTTAGGCAAAGACTATCTTTTTTGTCTCTATTAACAAAAACTCAGAACTTTTTCAGTGTACGAACAATTTAAATTTAATAATTTTTATACGTATATAAGTATATATATAGACTGAGTATCACTGTATATGTATACTACAGAACATTTACAAATGCAAAACCGACACGTGTCAAAAGAGCGATTGTTTGTCTTTTTCATCTGACAAACCTCCATACTCTCCTACTCTCCTCTTCCTCCGATAAATCTCAAAAACCCCTAAAACCAGAGAGAGAGAGAGAGATAGAGAAATCTCAAAACCCTAAAATCTCCAAAATCCTTAGCCGCCTAAACATGCCTGTGATGAACATCGGTCCTTATCCACAATCACAAGGTATTATCCAAACCCAAATTGATTTTTTTTGTTCTTTCATCTTTTCACCGTTTCATATAACTCTTTAAGATTGATTTGTGTGGACAGATGGGTTTTACGCGACGAACAATCCGTATCAGGAGAACGGACCAAAAGGGTTCACGGAGTTCAGGTTCATGGAAGAAAGCGAGGATCTGTTCGTGAGGCTCGATTTCCCAGGAGTCACCAGAGAAAGCGTCACGATCCGTCTCGAGCCATCGAAGAGAGCTGTCTTCGTGTTCGGAGTCGCGCCGAAAGAGCTCAGGCAGGACTCTTCTCACCGGAAATACGGAACCGCCACCGGACTTGTCTGCGACTGTTGCGAGATCAGTAACATTCAGTGTTTTGTTGGAGATGGTGTCGTCAGGCTTATCCTCTCCAAGAAGAAGATCAATCCTCTTGCCCCTTCCTCGTGTTCCTGTATGTAAACTTTCTCCAAATTAATAATTTTATTTTGATTTTGACATTTTTGTTCATGTTTATGTTTTTTGGTAAATTTTAATTAATTCTGACATTTTGTATCAGTTGGTGGTGCAACAATGCCTACTGATATTCCTTTGCTTGGTAATGTCTTCTCGTTTTCAATCTCAATCTTTGAAAAGATGATTTAAGTCTTCTTGTTTTAAATTAATCAATTTTGTTCTTTTTTGGCAGCACACATCATTCATGGCTATAACCCAGAAGGTATTTTGATTTTCCGTCTATTATTTATCGTGTAATCAAATCAGATACGTATTATCATTACAGTTTCTTATAGAAATTAATTTGTCTTCATAGTATCTGACATTTTTCATGGGATGTGTTGTTGTCTCAATTGTTGCAGTCGCAGGTGGCCATCCTCTTGGTATGTTTATTATTTCAATTTTTTGACTAGCCGTTTTACATTTCCCTTTTACCCTTGACTTGTTTTTTTTTAAAAAATCCTCTATTTTATTTAGCAGCTCATTATCGTGGACATAACACAGATCAAGGTACTTGATTTGCTATATAAAAAAATGAATAGTGTTATTTAATTAAGGCTCGGACGTTAATTATCTAACTTCATTAACTGTTACTGTTTAATCGTAGGTCGTCTTGGCACCGACCCTCTCGGTATGTTCTTGTACTAATAATCGCTCCATTGTGACATAATTTACATTATACTATACAGTATGAATTAATGACATTATAGTACTATTTGTATGCACGTATCAGTTACACTACTGATCGATGTTGTTGTTGTGCGATTATACGTTTGGATAGATCCGACGTTTACGGGGTTTTTCACAGTACCGCACCCGTCAGTGTTGGAGGGACCCAGCGGCTCGTACGAATCAAAGCAGCTCCAAAACGGCGGTCTCTATCTGCGTATAGACATGCCCGGAGTCCCGAGCGACAGCTTCAGGGTGCTGGTGGAAGCTGACGGCGGCGTCATCGTCATCGGCCGAGCTCCTCCGGTGTTGAATGATTCGAGTGGGCGTGATTACAGAGGCAGAGTCGCCGTCGTCCATCGAGCGTATGACAACCGTCAGATCAAAGTCGTCGCTAAACATGGTGTCATTCGCCTAATCATCCCTCCGTTTTAAGTATTTCATCATTATCGCATCTTGTTATCGAATATTATTATGTTTGACATTTATGGACTGTTTTTAATTAATGTCTTGCTTTTGGATTATCGAATATCTCAAGAACATTATTTAGATTTGCAATACCAAGTAAGATCTTCATAGCTCAAAATTTAACGTCATTATTACTTGCTGCTACTTCCATGTTCCAACATTTCACCTAATTATATAATGTCCATCTCCAAAATAAATTACTGTATCAGAAAAATAAAATTTGAAGTTAAATTACACATGATTTCTCGTCGTAATATTACCCTATTTTTGATAATAAATTAGAAAGAAAATGTAAAACAAATAAAGCAAATTTAGAAAATGGTTTCACAAGTAGGAGACTGACGCGTGTCCAATATTGCTGCATTCGCTAACAGCAAATGATAAAGAGACACGTGTCTCCTACTGTTTGTCGTATTTCATCAGCTGATGATGACAAATCCGTTCCTTCCCTTCCTCGTTGCCTTCTCTCTCCCACAAATCCAAAAAGAACCAGAGAGCGAGTGAGAGAGAAAGGTCTATAAATCAGTGGAAACCCTAATAAAGTTTCCACCTTTTAGAAATCTGAAATCTCACCCCAAAATCGCCGTTGAATCATGGTCGTTCCTCTTAGCTCAATCCCTCCATCTCGCAGTAAGATCTTCTCAAACCTCTCATTCACATCTTCTCTTTCAATAACATCGCCGTTCTAAGTTTCTTCTCCAGACCGGTCCGGTCTCTGATGATTTTTCTTCCTTATGAGCAGATGGGTTTTACGCTATCAACAACCAGTTTCTGGCAAATGGGCCAAAAGGGTTCTCGGAGTTTAAGATGTTGGAGAACGAAGACATGTTTATCCGGATTGACCTTCCCGGAGTCCCAGAGAACGGCGTGAGAGTTACGGTTGATCCGACAAAGAAAGCTGTCTCTGTCATGGCCGACGCACCTAAGGAGCATAGATACGACTCATCTCCTCGGAACTACGGCTCCTGCACAGGTCTCGTCTGCACATGCTGCCAAATCTCCGCCGTCGCCTCCCACATGTCCGACGGTGTTCTCCGCCTTCTCGTCTCTAAGACCCGCGCTAAAACGCAAAGCCCTTCCTGCATCGGTAAATTATCAAATCCACCTCCTCTTGTTCTTCTTCTTCGGTTAATTAATTAATCTATATTGGTTTACTGATTAAAAACAATACAGCAGCGTTGCTTGGTGGCCCAGACCGAGAAGGTATATTTTTATTCCGTTTTCACCAACTTTTCCTTATTTTGATTTTAATCGTTTCAACGAGTCTCTTTTTCCTTGAATATATTTTACTCAAAATGTTTTTATTTATTTAATTTTTGTTTGTCTCTACTTTGTGGTGAAAGATCGCTGTGGCTCGGGTGTTCACAAATTTCCGCATGGCTCGGATCCACGTGGTAATTACTTTTTTTTTTCCCTTCTTTGCAAGCTTATGCTATATAAATTCGTTACATAATCAGCATGTTGTTAATATAGGCAGCTACGTGCTGATCGAGTTAGTTGGTTAGTCTAGAAAAGGAATATTATTTTTTGAGTTGATGTGATATGTTTATGTGGAGCAGATCCGGCGTTAACGGGTCGGGTGTTGCAGCCACACCCATGCGTGAACCTAGGATCGGCTATGGCTTACGAGTCGAAGCGGCTTTCAAACGGCAGCTTGTACGTGCGTGTGGACATGCCGGGAGTTCCTAGTGACAGGTTCACTGTCTCGGCCGAGAACGGGAGAGTGATGGTGACTGGTGAAGCACCTGCCGTTAGCCACGACTCAGGTGGTCGGTACTACTCCGGTGACGTGGCTATTCTCTCCGGTGCTACCAGCATTCCGATCCGTAAGATCAAGGCCATCGCCAAGAACGGTGTGATTCGCCTCATTATCCCTCCCGTCTGATTTTATGATATAAAGTTATAAACCCATGTTTTTGATTTCTTAATTTCGTGGTGTGGACATCTTTCTTTGGGGTTATGTCGTTTTAAATGTTTTATCAGTACTTTGGTGAACTTTTCGCTTTACCCTTTACGAGTCTCTAAATAAATTGTACTATCATTTTTCTCTTGAAAGATTTTTTCAAGATTCCAATTTCCATATTTTATCCACACTAAACGATAAATAACAAAAAGGCTTTTGAATTGTGAAATCAGCTTTGAATTTCTGCAACAAGTCTTCTTTCATCATCTCTTTCATCCTTGTGACATAATCACAGGTGTAAACAAGCTAAATATTAACCACATAGGCCTTAGGGTCTAAATGCTCAACTAGACACAATCAAACTAATTAACGAACTAGTTAACCATATTTCTCTAAGCAATTATTTATAAGTCTAGGAAATGGTAAATAGTTGATCATACTTGGATCAACACAAATTAAGTACAAATCAAATAGCGTTATACAATAAGCCGACAGTAGAGATAAACAAGTTAGATACTATCATATATACTACTCCCATGGCTCTTAAAGCATCATATGTTTGATAAAAGAAGAAACTGATCAATTGAATAACTCTCAAGTTCCCTCCTCAAGAAATCGAGCAATATAGTTCCCAATTGCTCCAATCTGTTTTGCTATGACCCCAAACACAATTATGCTTAGATTCAGAGAAGACAAAATTATGACTAAACATCAAAAGAAGTAAGCTCTTACATTCATTAGGATATGCTCAGATTTTAAGTAAATAATATCACCAACAATACACATCCTTTCCACTTATCTATCTGTTGAAACATCTATACACAAATATCGATAGATAACAAAATGGCTTTTAAAAACGTGAAACTACCTTTGAATCTCTGCATCAAGTCTTGTTTCATCTTCTTTGACATCCTTGTGATCCAATCACCGCCTGCAGAAATTTCACAAACTAATTTAAGCATCCATTTATACTCTTCTTCACATAACCACAAAAGTTTTGTGTCCCTAGAAGCCAATGTGATTCCAGCTACCAAAACATCTCTCTAACCCATTGTTCAAACAAGTTACTTATTATCCACATAGCTCTAACTTCAGGGTCTAAATGCTACCATCAAACTAAATAGTAACCATGCTTCAGATTCAGATACAAGCATCAAGTAGTGGTATGCAATCACTCACCTCCGTGAAAAGCCACCGTGTGTCTGGCTCTGTTTCATGAACAGAGCTCTCTCTCTTTCCTTCTCAACCCTCTCCCTCTTCAACCGCTCTTCTCTCAGCTCCTTCAAGCTCTTCTTCCCACTCTTCTTCTTCTTCGAGCCCTCCCGAGAGCCTTCTCTGTATCCACCACCAACATCATCATCCTCACCACGAGCACTAGCTTCATTTTTACGTTTGTTCTCAAGGTACCAAGGAAGCTTGACTCCTTTACCAGCAACACCATATCCCAATCTATACTTCTCCTCGTCCGGATCTCCTTCTCTCGCTGCCGCATCTTTCGCAGAAGCCCTCGCAGTTGCAGCCGCTTCTTTCCTCATCTTCTTCCTCCTGTGGTCTTCCTCCTCCGCAGGCTTCTCGTTCTTCGGCAGCTCAATCGGATCGAATATCTTAATCCCTTCGAATAGGTTTATGTGTCCCGTCTTAGGCTCTTCCGATTCAACACTCTTCACGGCAGCGGAGGAAGTAAGAGCAGCAGCCACCACAGCCGCCGCCACAACCGCATCCTTACCCTTCTCTGCCTCCGGAGAAGCTCGTTTGAGAGGAGCCAAGCCACGGACGTTACGAAGCACCTCGAGACGAGATTCGGCGTCTCGTTTCCTGGCTTCCTCGCGCTTGATCTGTTCTTCCCTAGCCGCTGCTTCTTCGTCCTTTCGGACTTTCTCTCTGTTGTCGAAATTGTAAACGTTCCATCGCTTCTGCGGAAGAATGTTCAAACCACCGTGGCCTCCCATGGCTTACGGAGGATTCAACAAGCACTCAAACTGCAAACTAACTACGGATTTGGGATTTCTCAATCCGGAACCCTTAATCCCAGACGATCAGATCAGAAAAGATCTCGCCAACACAATCGATGAAACGGAATGAATGAAGAAATTGATGAATCGACGAGGAAACTTCGATTTGAGAGAAATTTAGGGGAGAGGTCTTCTTACCTGTTGGCCTTTGAATTTTGTTGACCTTTTTTCGGAAAATTGAAAGCCCATCGGGCCTAGGAAGTGGTATTTTTGCAATTATAAGCCCAATAACTATATTTGTTTCCCAAACGTTTCTGAGGAGTGTACCAAAATCTGTAGAGCAACCACAAGTTTCGCTGAAATACTTCTTACAGTACTTCTTACTTGTTTGGTCTACAAGAGGATACATTTACGAATATTACGAAATATATGTATGTTTGCAGAACAAGAGGTACATTTGTAATGTGTGGATTGATACACTTTACACTTATTGTTACAACTGAAATTGCTTTTTCCACTGCCGTAGTTATGCACTAGTCTAGTGACATGCTAAAAAACCTGAGAATGTAATCAGAATTCCAATACAGAATTTGGAAAACTGTAGTTAAAAGAAGGCATCAAGAAAGAAAAGGCCATCATAATAACTTTAGAAGTTCAAATAATACGAATCAACTAATAATTCTTATTTTTGTAGCCAAAACGATCTTCTTCAAAGAAGGCATCAAGAAAGAAAAGACCATCATGATAACTTTAGAAGTTCAAATAATACGAATCACTTAACTTACAAGTATCAGTCGATCAAATGTAGGTACTTCCGAATTTATTTGCATTAGGACTTTTTTGCTCCTTTAAGATCGCATGAGTTTCCGAGCGAGAGAGCAACAGAAACCTTAAGTATACTAAAATAAGAAAAGGAAATGTAAAGCTAATATAGATTTTAAGAAATTGTGTTGTCTTAAAATCTCCGTTTCAGGAAGAGAGAGAGAACAGAATAAAAGACTCTAGTCTACTCTTCAAAACCTCTGTTTCTCGATCTTTTCCTTTTACTTTTACATTTAATCAAATGATGGTGGTCTAGTGGTTTCCACCTAATGGAGGAGTATCAAGACCGACTTCTCTCAAGCGCGCTAGATTTATCCCATTTGACCATATGGATATGAGCCCTTGCTTTTAGCCCATTTAAATACCCAGAGAAAGGGTCTATTCGTGGGCTCCACCTCTCCAAAGAATTAGTCTAAACCACTCCATAAGCCTAGGATTTACCCTGAGTTATCAAAATTTTTTTTGTCATAGATGTGGCATGTTTCTTGTGGAAAAAGGTAACTAGTTGTTAAAGTAAAATTCATGGCTGACAGTTTCGTTAATCAAGTTAAATCCAATCTCCATCAATCCAACCCAGTTCAACTTTGGAGAATTTTCCCTTTTTTTATTTTTGAAAAATAATAGCAGAATGTTCAAACGGGAAATGGATCCTCAGACTCTGCAAGAGGGTCTCAGCTCTCTGCACAAAGAATTCATTTCTATCCCCTTTCACCTTGCCGCCCCATGAAGAAAGCTTTAGTTTGGGCTGCTTCTTCTTGTGGCTCCTCCCATTATTCTGCCTCCAAACGTGCACAACAGCCTCAATCCTGTTAGCGATTTCAAGAGTATGGTGTTCCAATGAGAGATCAAGACAGTCTAGGAGACATTCCGGTGAGAACTTTTTTGCAGTCAAGTATTGGCAGATGATCTCTCCAGGACATTCCTTCCCGCTCTGCACCACCAAGTTCAAAAAAGAAGAAAGTCAGGCCTCACTCCACACAGAGCAGTGTAAAAGAGGGAGAGAAGCTAAGCTAAGCTGCATTGCATATATATACCTTGGGCAATGTCTCCAAGTAAGTGTGGGGATGTCCATTTGGGCGAGCACACCGCTGTTGATGGCCAATGCAGCGACGTAAATAACCTTTTACAACCGATCCATTAGAGCCCAAGTAGATACAAAGACTTGGGCTACTATAAATTTTCAATTTTATAACGAAATACAGCTCAAGACTTTGATGTAAATAACCTTTTCAATTTTTTAACGAAATAGATATATTGTTCGTTTGTAATGTACATTTATTATTTTGCTATATTTTTCTTGATCAACATCTTAAATATATGATTTTATTTCCAGTCAACATCTTTGTAAATTTATAAGAAATGAGTTTACAATAGAAACATAAAGATTTGAAGTTTTAGTCAACCAAAATAATAAATGTACATTCCAAACATATGTAGAAAGAGTATAATTATTATATTATATTATATTATATTCTATTCTATATATATAAATAAATAAGATACATTCTCATAACAAATCAAATCAAATCACAAACAACAAATAATCAATCTTATTTTTGAGTTTTATATATATTGAGTTTTATATATCAGTTGTGAGAAAAATGGCAGGAAAAATGTATATTGTAATGATGGTAATGGCATTGGTGTTGATGGGATGTCATCCAAAGACATGTAATGGAGAAACACCATCTGCTCCATCTCCCAGACCCAGTCAATATTGTTCTAAAATGTGTGCCAAACGATGCATTCATGACCAAACTTGTTATGAAGGTTGTATGAAGTCATGCAACAGCCCTCAAAAGTATGTGGACTTTCTGTCTGTATATTCTTCTTAAATTATTTACTTAATTAATATATTAATATACTAGGGTTTGACCCGCGCCCTGCACGGGGTGATGTTTTCTGAATTTATATTTTGATTAAAAGATGTTTTTTTTTGGTAATTTATTAAAAGATGTCTATTTAAATATCCCAAAATTTTATGTGACGAGTTTTTAATCTTTGTTAGATTATTGCCCTCGTTTATTCGTTTATAATATGAAAATTAAGCATTTTAAACTATTTTTTAAAAAGGTAAATAGATTAAAGTCTTGAACGTAGCCATATATTAAATATGATAGATTTAAATAAGATACATGAAACTCAAATGACTGCAGTATAATAAGTTAGTTTAAAGAACAAAAAAAATAAAAATAAAATATTATTCTTTACATAAATGTCTACTGTATTTCATAAGATAAGAAGTCACACATATTATAATAATAATTATTTTCTTTCTTTTAAAACTAAAACACGGATTACAATCAATTTTTTTTTCTTTCAAAACTAAAACATGGATTAAAATGATCTAAATTGTTAAAATAACAAAAATATAATCATACTATTATTTGCGAAGTCAGAATTTCGAATGGAGGCACCACGTTAACTCTCAGCCGCGGAATTACCGAGATACCCTTAATGAAAATCTATTATTAAATCTTCTGAATTTCCTTTTTTAATTATTTCACAATTTCGTTTTATTATATAAAAGTTTATTATTTCTTTATTAAATATTGATAATTATCCTTTTCTTTTTTCCTCAATTTATATTTATCACTAAAATAAATATCCTAACTACCATATTACCGTACCACTTTTTTGGAAAAAAATCAAATAATTAGGTATTTTACAAAAACCCTAGATTTTACAACCGACTTAGTCCTATTTATATAAATAGATTGTAACAAGCAAAATAAACAGAATTTTCGTTTCTTCTTTTTTCGTGTTCTAAATTCTTCCTTTTGTCATGTAGGATTCCAAAGATAGAAAAACCAATAAAATATGAGCAGAGAAGGTGGATAATACTAAACATGCATAAGAACATGTATTCAATAACGTGGAATTGTTTGATTTTAAGTCGATATGATCACATGACATCGTCGTAAAAGTCGGCCATGATTTTAGTGTTCTTTCTGTTTTATGTTTTAGATGGATTGTTCATGTTAGTTATATGAAGTGTTATATGTTCATGCCAATACGTGGTTTAAATACAAACCTAATAATTTGTGTTCTCTGATCTCTTTTTTCATAGCATCTGAAGAAGAGAAAAAAGAGCCGTTGTGAGAAAGTTGATCTAATACAAAACGTATTAAAAATTATGGCTTTGTCACTGTTTGAACCTAGGGTTTCATACCAAATCCTCTAGAAATTAGGTTTTAGTTCGTAGATAGTTATTTTGTAATTTCCAAATAGTTAGGTTTTAGCTGATTTTCTTCTTCTCTTTGTTGTTATTAAATTTTGTTTGTTTACGAGGTTTGTACTGGTACAAGAGAAACATGGCTTCGTAAAGGTTCAACAAGAACAAACCAGCTAATTTTTCTGCATTGGCATAGCAGATGTAACAAAGGTGTTAAAAGGTTGTTGCTTTGTCCATTACTTTTGCAGGGGGTGAACTGAAAAGATTAGAGACACATAAGAGAATCATTATGCGATTTTTCATAGGTCACAAGTTGAATTTGAAATTGTCTTTTTCTTCAAACATTGATATGATAATTGACTATTGTTTTATTGAAGCCGAAGAAGAAGAACAAAAGAACTTCTTGCACCCGGTAAGTTTGCTCGCCCACATGCTTATATTGCTCTGTTATTTTCTGTTTGTTGATCAAAAGTTCAAATCTTGCAGAATCACATCGAAGGTATCACGAATTGTCATCTAAAACCCAAATATATTTCTCATATGTAAATCTGGTAAGTTACATAAAGCACTCATGTCTCTCTAATCATATTTGTTGAAAATTTTAAGTTTAGTTATCATACAAGAATGCTTGGTTCTACATTGGCTCGCCACAGATCAGAACCGTGCGAGTGTACATTGGTTGCATCAAGTCTGGAACTGTCCTAGCTCAAAAGTAAGCAAACAAAATCTGTCACAAGCTCATGTTTTTACACACTTTGACGTTTTCTTCAAATATATCGTGTTGCAGAGGAGTCAAATACCATTAGTCAGAATATAATTGGAAGTTTGGTGAATAAGGAAACAAGTACTTTAGACACACAGACTTAGAAATCTATACCATCTCCAAAGACTTAGCAACTTATATCAATAAACCGGTGACATGGAGTTGATTAAGTACCATAAACTAATTTAATGTATGTTTCATTAGTGCATGAAAATGAAGAGAGCTATGAACACGGTG